CCATGGTAAATGTTATTGTCTCTTCTTTATCGTTTATATCATTTAGGAATGTGTCCAACAACTCTGATCCATGAGGCCATATTGAGAATACATCATCTACATACCTCCACCATACTGTGGGTTTGAAATTTTGTTTAGAAATGATATTTATTTCAAAATCTTCCATAAATATATCGGCTAAGAATGGAGATAAACTAGAGCCCTCATAATTTACTATGGAATCACTAACAGGAGAATTTTTACTGTCATCATGTCATGTGTTTGTCTTTTTAAAGACGAATTACATGCTATGATTTTTTCTGACGGATATTCTCAAGTTAAAGTTGATTTCATGTAATCGAATGAACTATCTCATAAGTAAAGTCGTCCAGGAGCGCAACTCAACAATATTGGCAATATCATTTTAAAGTCGTCTACTTTAAAATGCATAATGTATGTCTGAATTGTCAATATAAATGAGTCAGATAAAATTAAATTATTAGAAGAATTTTTTCACTATGTAACAAAAAAAACAAAATTTGTTTAATTTACTGTTTGTATTTTGAGAACGATTTCCGAATTGGAAATTGAAACGTCAATAAACGTATTTTATCTTAATTGTGGCTTATTCCCAGTTATAAATAGTAATTAATTTACAATGCCACAAGAAAATAGCTTCAGAACAATATGTATCTAGCATCATTCATAGGGCAAGTTAAATAGTTTAAATAATTAGTCTTAGGGTTAAACAAATTAAATAACATTTAAACAATTTGACCGTTCGGGGAGAAATTTCGCACAAATTTAAAGGACGGTAATTCATTGATCTTTAAATGTATTAGTAACATTTTGTTTTGTTAATATAAAAAATTAATAAAATTTATAAATTAGTGCAAAAAACTGCTTTTTTTGCAAATATCTCTGTAAATTATTTATTAATTTTAATTGAAAAAACGGAAAAATTAAGATATACTTGTTATAAAAAAAAGTTATATAAATATTGTTTATTTAAAATAGGGAACAAGGGAAAAAACTTATAGACAAAAAATCAAATTGTGACCATAAATTATTGTTTAAAAAAAAACGCAAGGTAAAAATAGGAGCATCTATTCATCTATTCGTCATCTAGTCACCCCCACCTATATCTAAAAAGCTTCAGATCTCTGCGAAAAATTTTGACGTGAAATAGATGATTTTTGCATAACCAGACTGGGCTACATATAAACAGCCGAATTATTCGCTCTTTATCGAGCAAGTAAGTTTATTAATAACAATATCGTCCAAGCGGTGACTCTTTCTAATTCTCTGAGTTCGATTACTTCAATTCAACGAGTATATCCTAAACACCCAATTGAAAAAATGATCAAATCAGAACTTCACACATGTCAAGAAAAAGGAAGAACAGTTGACTTCATATGGATTCCTTCTCATGTGGGTATCCATGGAAATGAAGAAGCAGACTTAAGTGCGCGTAGTGCAGTGTCTAGTGCGGATTCAGAAATAATAATAAAGTGCGGTTCAGAAGACTTAAAAATTTCTATTAAGGCAAAAATCTTAGAAGTCTGGCATAACGAATGGCAAATATCAACGTCTTTTTCTTCTTCTTAAAGTGCAGTGCATTTCTGCGTAGGCGTCCACCGTACATCGTCTTGTCAGGTGAGATGTTAAATATTCTGGATTAAATAATTCTGTTTTTAGCAGCATTGCGAAGCATTTCATAGCTGTGGATTCCTGTCCATTGTCGAATATTGCGCAGCCATGATATTTTTTTACGTCCCGAGACCTCTCCTACCCTCTATCTTCCCTTCGAGTATCAGTTGCTGAAAAGTGTATCGTTCTCCTCGTATAATGTGCCCCAAGTATGCAGTCTTCTTACTTTTTACATAATTAAAAAGTTTCCTATCCTGTAAGCCCGCTCTTCTGAGTACTTCCTCATTTCTGACCCTGTCCGTCCATGATATTCTGAGCATTCGACGCAGGCACCACATTTCAAAACACTTCAAGTTTGTTATTGGAACTCGCCTTTAACGTCCATGCTTCCATTCCGTACAGGAGAACAGGCCACACGTAACACTTTAAGCATCTTGTATCGGAGGTTGAAGTCCAATTTGCGATCAGTCAGAAACTTACGGAGCCTCAAAAAAGCATTTCTGGCTTGTTCAACTCTGCTCTTTATTTCATTCTCGGGGTCCCAACCCTCATTCAGCAAACATCCCAAGTATTTGAATTGCCTGACTTGTTCGATTTCTTCTCCAGAGACATATATCTTTGCGTGGGGTAATCATTTCTACTTATAATCATTGATTTTGACTTCTTGATATTTATTTTCAAACCCCGAGCTTCACTTGCAAGAGTTAAATCATTTAAAAGGCATTGAAGATCTTCGATGTTATCTGCCACTATGGCTGTATCATCTGCATACCTGATGTTATTAATAAATATGCCGTTAACTTTAATACCTTTATTAGAGTCTTCCACTGCATCTGCGAAGGCTTTTTCTACGTATAAATTGAACAGCATTGGGGACAGTATACAACCTTGCCTTACTCCTTTTTTAATGGAGAAATCTTCTGTTTCGTTGGAATTTTGAAGACGTACTGTTGCTGTCTGATTCCAATACAGATTGGCGATGGTTCTTATATCCTTTGCATTCAATCCCAACTCTTGTAGGTATTTTATCATCAATTCGTGTTTTACATTATCGAATGCTTTCTCGTAATCGATGAAACAGATAAAAACATCCTTTCTTTGATCTAAACAATTCTGTATCAATTCTTATCAACGTCTAAACTACGACAAATTAAAGATACAGTTAAAAGAACTAAACCTTTTTACAAAAGTTGTCATGAACAGAGTATAATTAACCGGTTACGATTAGGCCATAGTAGACTCACACACTCTTATCTTTTTTCGAAATGTAACCCATCAATATGCGATCACTGCAATTCAACCCTAATAGTAAAACATATCTTTGAATGAAACAAATTTAAACATCAACAATCTGTGTATAATATAGATACAAATTTATCTAGTTGTGTTAGGTCAAAATAGTTATTCAAAGAACTTAATAGATTATTTAAAAGCTATCAATGTGTTCCATAAGATTTAACTTTATTCTTCTTGTACAAAATTGCTGACTTTTTAGTACTATTTTGTAAGCATTTTTTGTAACCATGTAATATATCTATTATTATAAAATTGTATAGATCCGTCGCTAATAAGCATTAGGTGGATGCGACTTTGTATATTAAATAAAAAAAATAAATAAATTTTGATATACAAACAAAGGAAGAAAAAAACTGATGGACAGTAGACGACGCTAAAAAAATATTTTACATTTCAAATATTTCACAAATATTTATATTTTTAACAGGTTTGTAAAAATAAATTAGACAAATTAAAATTGATTTTATTTGAACCTAAGACTAGGAATTTTCTGCTCATCTTTAGGTCAGCCGGAAAAGGTTAACTTAAAGTTATGTCGGTTAAGTTAACTTTTTCTGGAAACCTGAAAATAAAGAGGACATTTTAATATTATAAACAGGTCGTCCTAGGTTCGAATAAAATAGATTGTAAAGTCTAATATTTATTTCTACATCCCAGTTGAAATAGATGTGCAACCCATTCATCATCTATCGCTTTCTTAGAAATTTATTTTCTAATTTTAAGTCTGATCTAGTATCGCATTCCGTATATGTTTTCTGATTGCCTATATTCATCTACCTTAATTACTATTTAACTGGGAATAAGCCACAATTAAAGATAGAAATATGTTTATTGACGTTTCAATTTCCACTTCGGAAATCGTTCTCAAAATACAAACTGTAATTGTATTTTGAGAACGATTTCCGAAGTGGAAATTGAAACGTCAATAAACGTATTTTTATCTTTAATTGTGGCTTATTCCTCAGTTAAATAGTAATTAATTTAAAATGTGCCCCAAGTATGCAGTCTTCTTACTTTTTACATAATTAAAAAGTTCCCTATCCTGTAAGCCCGCTCTTCTGATACTCTCCTCATTTCTGACCCTGTCCGTCCATGATATTCTGAGCATTCGACGCAGGCACCACATTTCAAACACTTCAAGTTTGTTATTGAAACTCGCCTTTAACGTCCATGCTTCCATTCCGTACAGGAGAACAGGCCACACGTAACACTTAAGCATCTTGTATCGGAGGTTGAAGTCCAATTTGCGATCAGTCAGAAACTTACGGAGCCTCAAAAAAGCATTTCTGCTTGTTCAACTCTGCTCTTTATTTCATTCTCGGGGTCCCAACCCTCATTCACAAACATCCCAAGTATTGAATTGCCTGACTTTCGATTTCTTCTCCAGAGACATATATCTTTGCGTTGGGTAATCATTTCTACTTATACGTCAATAAACGTCAATAAACGTATTTTATCTTTAATTGTGGCTTATTCCCAGTTAAATAGTAATTAATTTAAAATGCCACAAGAAAATAGCTTCAGAACAATATTCATCTACCTGTTCGCATATTTCACAACGCTCGACCCGGAATCGATATGACGTCGGTTGCTCGCCAGATTGCATACACTACTGCAGAGTTTGTTCGTGTTCTCTGAAAAGGTAACAGGTGGTTACGTATTGTTTGCCTGATCGAAGTGATACAAACGATTGAATTAATTTTTAGTTGCCGCCTGTGGGTATCTTATACCAAGCCTGAATATACGTTATAGCTCTGGTACAGTACTGACATAGTACCATATCACGTTCTCAGTTAATCCGCTGCTACATAAATTTGGTTAAAATTTATTAGAACTTATCTACAGGAACATATTATCTACAGGAACATTTTTTAATAAAAATTAAAACGCGCTGTATCTGAATTCAGACCTTTTTCTTAACCTTAAGTTATAAAGAGTCCCTACCTAATTCAGATCTTCTTATAGTGCAATAAAGATAACATTATTTCTATTTTCAAGATCTGTTTTTTTATCTTTTAATAATGGCTTAATCTTTTAGCTTTTAATATAATATTTTACACGGTTTGAAACTTTAGGTGAAATGCAAGATTCCTTAGCAGCTTTACAACCTCAGCTGGAGGCGATGAACAAAGCAGCATCCGAGATGCTAAGTCAGATTGAACACGAAAGTATAACTGTCGAAAAGGCTTCAGCAATAGTAAAACAAGATGAAAAAGTAGCTAACAAACAAGCAGCTCAAGCTCAAGCTTTAAAACTTGAATGTGAAGCGGACCTCGCGGAAGCCATGCCCATTCTGGAAGAGGTAGTTAGAATTACATATATCTTTTAATTGTGGCCAAACAAACATAGCTAAAATATTATTATTTATACCAAGATATACGTAGTCATTAATACTCCAGTTAATAACCGTTTCGGAGTGTAATTTTGCTCGTCATGATGGATTTGCTTGCACATTTGGATATAGGCTTCCTATTACTTCCTACTTTACTTTTGGACTTGAGTGGCTTTTACTTAAACTTTAAATTAAAAAAAAACTGGTTTAAAAGTAAAAGAAAAATTTTTAAAATAAAAAAAATGCCTCTTTTTTCAACTTTAATAATAACTTAAAAAGTATTAGTGATACGAAAAATCTTGAAGAATAACTAAATATAGGTTTTGCTTTTCTGAACATTTGTTTTTTTTTTATATAAGACAGAAATTGGTTAATATTTTGCTTTTTAAATATTGCATATACTTATGATTAGTGATTAGTTTAAGCCCTTTCAACATTTTTAAAAACAAGGGTTTAAAAAATTTATTTAAAATATCTTATTGCCCCTAAAAAAACTACAAACTGGTTTTTTAAGTTAGCTTAAAAGCTAACCGGGTTGTGAGTAAAAAAACAAATCATATATTTTAGAAGATATCTAAACACATATGCTGGAGCATTGAAAGATACACATAACTATTAAGACACATATACTTTCACCCATCGCTAAACTAATATGAGTTTTTTTTTAAGTTGAAATAAAATAAATTCATAACATTTTGATTATTGTATTTATAGTTTCAATAAAAAAATATGGTAGCAAAGGAGGAGAAAATAAAGACTAAATGTTGATCTAAAGTGGTATCATTAACCTTAAGATATGAGTTAGCCGTGACTATGGGGTAGTATTTACACCCAAAGTATTGTTGATTTGGCTCTTACTTAAAACGAATTGGTAAGAAGGAGACACGTATGTATACATTGAGAAGAAGTGTATGAAAATACTACAGAGCATATCATGTTATAGTGGTGGAACTGATGCTCTATAACGATAAATATTAGAACCTCGTGTTATCATGGTGAAGGGGATCAAATAGAAAAACGCATGTGGACAGTGCAGGACGCGCGGTAAAGAACCATACATAGGTTTCTACTGATTACAAATGGTTTAAAAAATGTATACCCTTTATCCATAAGAATTATTAATTTTCTTAGTACAATTAATAAAATTTAAATAATATTTATTTGAGTATAAAATATTATAAATAATTGAATAATATTTTTAATACTGTATATATATATATATATATATATATAATTTATATATATATATATATATATATATATATATATATATATATAATATATATATATATATATAATATATATATAATATATATATGTATATATATATATAATATATATATATATATATATATATATATATATATATATATATATATATATATATATAAATATTAAGAGGATAAAATAAAAAATAATTTTAAAACATTTTTAAGGCCATCGCCGCATTGGATACTTTAAAACCAGCAGATATAAGATTAGTTAAAACTATGAAAAATCCTCCTGAAGTCATTAAGCTAGTAATGGCTGCTGTGTGCATAATAAAAGGTATTAAGCCTGATCGAATACCTGAACCTGGAACTGGAAGAATGATACAAGATTATTGGGGTCCAAGTAAACGGTAAATAAATATTAAATTTCTTTCTTGACTGCCGTCTCACTTCATTATTAAGCACCATCCACTATGTTGTGTTCAGTGTTGAACAAACCAAAATAAGTCATCTTTTTTTTTCTGAAAGACTTAAATTCAGTTGGTTCTCACTTATTTTAAATTACATATTTGTCTAACGTATAGGTGGTCTTTCTCAACATGTCGCTTCTACTTCGCTATTCCAGTACCTTCTTGGTCAATTTATTATCACTCTTGCCAGCCTAGCTCTAGTTCTACTTACTATTCGTTAATCAATTTCGCATATCTTCTTCGCATTTCTTCTTTTTTATTCATACACATAACTCTTAATTTATCATCTTATGTTATAGTGAAGGTAAAAGTTTTGGTTCCATATGTAAATCATTACAAATTCGCTTTTATTGAAATTGGGATATTATTTTTAAATATGTGCCTTAATCTTTCATATGCTGACCAAATCATGAATATTCTTTTAAGTTTGCAGATTTGATTATTACTAATAATTTTTATGTCAACTTTTTCTTTAACTTATATTTTATAAAACCTACATGTGGTGCTACATCAATTCGTCTCTTGCAGTCTGTGGCATCTATTTTTATAATATAAACAAATATCGCCAATATATTATATTGGTGATATTTGTTAATTTTTTTGTCTGACAATTTTATAAGTTTATACTTCATCTAATTTACATACCGATGAACGTCATTATCTACGTCAGAGATCGAAGTTGACATAGTTGCCAAAGTATAAAAAAATCCTGACTCCATTTTAAATAAAATAGATCGCATAATTATTGCAAAAGTATTACCGTCTCTTTACAATGACTATTTAAATTCTTACGTGACATTTTTTTTAATATAAACACACTAATTTTGTTCTAAAAAGAACTGATTTTTTTAAATAGGTAAAAATGTAAAACAAGAGGTATTCACTTTAAAATTCAAAATAATAAAGTACAAAAAGTGTCAACACCGCAACTGTCAAATAAGTGTTACCAATTTATGCCAAAATTTCACCTTTGTTCGATTACAGTTACAGTGTGTTCCGAACAAATGTTCTTCATAAAAATGCTTTATAATGCATTTATACAAATTAAATGAAAATATTTTTGTGTATTTCTTTAAGTTAACATTAATATAAATTTTTATTAATATTATTTCTACGCGTATATAAATAAAATATGTCTATACTACGTTCCACGTTTTAGAACATAACATTGCGGAGATAGGGCCATGTATTTCTTATGGACGATAGCAAACGCGGCGTTTGCCACGACACACACAAGCACAATTTAGGGTTGTATAATTTGTATTTTTGTTTCACACAAACATGAATTAAATTAATGTTTTTTAACGTAATTGACCAAAAGTGCCCATTCGAAACAAGAGATGAAAAGTAGGGAAAATGATTTTAATTAGATAAATAGTATTTACAAAAGATAATTTTTATTTTTATCTTATTTTAATTATAGTAACGACAGTTTATTTTGTTTTTTCGGTGAGAATACGATATGCCATGAATTTATAGAAATCAGTAGAAAATATTGACCGCTTGGAATGCGTATATCTAATTACTAATTGCAACTTAAAATATATGATGTGCGTATGTAAGCTATTTTATATCGTTCTCTGACTACATAATGATAATAAGGCTTTTATTTAGTAGTTATTCTGACTTTACAGTTAAATGTTAATTGAAAATTAAAATTCAAAAATTAAGCAAAGGGAATATCTTGGACATCCGTGCAAAAGAGAGTGTCTGAGAGTTTTGGCAACACTGATCTCCATAAGCGTAATGTTATTTTCTTAAAGAATAGTGGCTGTAATGCCCGTGTACTCGGCAAAGTGATTCTAAAAAAGAACACACCTACCGTGTAATATTTCGTGTTGGTATCATGTGATGTCACGGGTTATGACGCCGATGACGTGCATCGGTAAGTAAATTAGATGAAGTGTAGAAGTATGAAGTTTCTATGTAGGTATAGTACTTATCAGTTCAGCTAAAATCCATTTGGTCCAGCAGCCTATTTGTTAATATTTTAATTGTTGTACCAAGCTTTCGATTTTTACTAATCTTGCCAAAATATTGATCGTGAATTCTTATGTTTGGTTTTATGGTCTTTAGTTTTTAAGTAAATTTTTAATATATCGTTATCACTGATGTTCAATAATATTTTCTGAATTATTATTGTTCTAATGCTATTTTCTTATGGCATCTTAAAGAAATTATTATTTTAATGGGAATAAGCCACAATTAAAGTTTAAAATAAGTTTATTTTAAACTTCAATTAAAAGTCATTTAGATTTCCTCTTCGCAAATCGTCATCAAAAAATAAACATTAATAAATTAATTGATATAAGGTTGAATGCTCGAATAAATGAACTTTGATCAAATAGAAGGCACATATCGAGCACAGTTTTATTAATTAAATCTTGCCCAAGTACTTTTCTCTCTCCGGTTTTTGACCACAATGTAGCTTCGTCCATTTTAAAATGTTAAAGTGTTTGTCCTTGTGTAGTGTAGTGTTGTATGAATTGTTATACATATAATTATTATTGCAAAACTTTAATTGAATAGATAAAACGTTATAAAGTAAAAAAACTGAATTTACAATTGCACTGAAAATAAATACAAGTCTTTATTTCAAGCTGAATGTCGAATCTCGAATGCTAAAACTAGTTGTCGGTCGAAGGTCAACGTCGTAGACCAAACACATGATGGCTGCACGGGGGGAGAGGGGTCACGGTTCATCGGTGTGTGAGACAACTGCTATAAAGGGGTCGATCAACAGTTAAACATACCGGTCCCCTTGTATAGCTGGTAGGATTCAACAGCAACCTAATGGTTAGGAAGATCCTCTGGAAGTACACATATCTTCATGGCAGGTCGTTTGTATACGGAGGAGCCAGTTCTATATGGTAACAGCTCTGACTACAACGTCGGCACCGGATGAGTGACTTCAACTATATACCAATTTTCTCATTTCATTGGCGGGATTCCAATCTTCTTTAACCAAGACGAAGGAAGTCCAGGCTTTAAGATTGTGGGTAGGCTTTTTTCATTTAGAACCGTTGTTGGAGCTCGGAAATGTACTCCTTTGACCATCGCTTTCAGAAAACTTTGGATGATTCTTTGAAGGCGTTGGAAACTTTGCTGAGTGAATTTTCTTTAATTGCAGAATAGTCATGGTCCAGGTAAAGCTGTAAATGCGTTCTCCAATTAGGAAGCGTGCAGGTGTCAAGGACTTGCGGATCATTGGGATCATTGTAATATCTGGGATAAAGGTTGGGAGTTTAAACATGCTTGGACTTGATGAAGAACAGTTACGAAATCTTCGTAAGAAAGTGGGATTTGACCGAGTACCCTCTTTAAATGAATTTTAGTAGATTTAACTCCCGCGTCCCAGATTCCACCAAAATGTGGTCCATGAGGAGAGTATGAAATGCCATTTTACATTGTCAGAATTTAGAATAGATTGAATTTTATTTTCACTCGTGTGTAGAAACTTATAAATCTCATTTTTTAGCTCCAACAAAATTGGTGCCATGTTCAGATAATATATATTTGCGCTTAAACCTCTTTTAGCGAAAAATCTACGAAGGTGGCAATAAGAGAGTCTGTAGTAAGACTGCTTACAAGTTCAAAATGCATAGCTCTCGTTGAGAGACACACAAAAATACACACGTAAGTCTTGATCGTGTTATAATTTCTAGTTTGCCGTTCCTTTAATGAAAATGGTTCCGCAAAAGTCTGTACCATGTATTGTAGAAATAGTCGTTGCGGCGTTACTCGATGCTCTGGTAAATCTCCCATCAAATAGGGGATAGGAGACGCACTAAAGCGAAAACAACGTAAGCATTGCCTCACAAGTTGTTTGATTAAATTTCTGCCAGAAGTTAGGAAAAAAACGTTCTCGTATTGAAGCTAGTAATAATTGTGGCCCTGCCTGGAAGAAGGCGCAAATGATCTTGTTTTTACAATTAATTCAGAAAGTACATGTTTTTTACCGGGTATTATTGCAGGATGTTTCTTTTGAAAATCAAATTTTTTAATGTTTAAAGTCTGCCACCAACTCTGATTAATACCATTGTCATCTAAGAATGGGGCTAATCGTAAGATCTTACTTCTAGAGTTAATAGGTTTAGATTTTGAATAAGTCTTGACACTCAGACTCGGAAACTCTTGCCTTTGAAACAGTTCTAATAAAAGTATATAGAGCATGATTCGATGAACCAATTACAGTAGGCAGTGACTCGTTGAAGCTTGTTAAGATTTGAGAAAATCTGTTAATAAGATCCAGTCCTTCAGTAACTGTAGACTGAAAGGAAATTAATTTTTCCTTGCGTCTCTCAGGTGCATTCAGAAATGATCTATAGTACTTGAAGCATAGGTGGGCCATTGTTCTTTTAGGATACAGCAGCCATTTAGGGCCATTCCACCATAGAGAATTATCAAAATAAAGACCTAGGGCTAAGACCCCGAGAGAGCAAATCAGCTAGGTTTTCTTGAGTATTGACGTATCTCCAAGATCCGAATTTGTTAATGATTGTAATTGTGGCACTCTATTAGCGACAAAAATTTCCATTGGGTAGAAACAGATTTGATCCATGATAAAACTATAGTTGAGTCACACCAGTAGAAGATATGAGTAATAGGAAGATCTAACGAGATTAGGACCTTCTGAGCCAACTCTGCCAGCAAAAATGCAGGCGCGCACAATTCGAGCCTTAGGAATCGTTAATTGTTTTGAGGGAAGCCACTCTTGTTTTAGAGCAAAGTAAATGACAATGATAAGTACCCTCTGAATCTATTGACCGAATGTATATACAGGTCACCGTATGCCATTTCACTGGCAGTCAGAGACGCCGTGGATTTCTTAATAGCACTGGATTGTTAGGTTAGTACATGTCTAGGAATTTTTTAATGCGCTTTAAATCTTAAAGATTGATTATGGAATTTATTCCACCGCTTAGTATAAAGGTCTTGTG